CCGCTCCTGTCGAAGGGTATCGTCTCCCGGAGCCGCCGGACTAGTTGTTCCAGCAGCAGCTGATCTCGCCTGTCCAGAAATCCAGGGGAGGACGAGAGCGCATCGAAGCCGCGAAAAACGCCACTCGCGGCACACCGAACACGAACACGAAGTCGACCACGACGACAGCGACGACGGCGACGACGACGACGACGACGACGACACTCGCGACCGACCTGTCTCGCAACCCTCCGCGACACACATACGTCACGGAAGATACGACCGTACACCTTGGCGGGGGATCACCGACGAGAACACTTTCGATCGACTTGCACGCGATCCCTCACGCGATTAGCATCCCCCTGCCGAGCGAGTTGCCCTAGCGAGGATAATCTGGCATTCCTCAGGTGGGCACCGACAGCACCTTCGCCGACGTTCGAAATACCGCTGCGGCTTTACCGGCTATCCTGCCTTACGGTTATCGCGACGCGTTACCAGCCGGTCAAACTTTTACGATTATCGTGTACCGATCGCCACGACCTACTCGATTGCCCGTAACCGTTTCTCGCACTGTTTTTTTCACGTATTTATATCCGTCGCAGAACTATCCGCAAACAGAGGAGCGCCATCTTGATTTCTGCTGTCGCGGAACGAGTCGAATGAGATGCGCGCGACGCCGATACAGCTGTGAAAGGGTGCCACTGCCACAGACGACCGCGGTTTTTCGGAACACACGCGACGCGACCACTTTTCAGGCACGGTTCTCGTTTTCTCGCGCCACATCCTTACTTTTTTCTCCCTCTTTTGCCGATCCTACCTGTTTTTACGCTATCATTGTTAATCGAAGTTACTGTTAACTTTTATTTTCTTTCCGTTTCAGCGAATTTAGCTTGTTTCGAAAACACGGATAGACGTAAATTTCAAACTTCCCACTCGATCATACTTGACTGTAATGATTATCGAAACGTAACTCGAATCGTACGATCCTGGTATCGTTCGCTCATTGGTCGAATACGAAATGAGGCAATTTTACCGTAGAATTTGAAAGTGAAATTTTACCTAACAAAATGTTGTACCAAGTCGAACGATCGAGTAATTTGTGTCTGTAAAAATAAAGAAGATGTTTCTATTGAATGAGTAGCATAGTTTTCATAAAAAATACCTGTCCTTTTCCCACAGTTTTCTGTAAAGAATGATCTCGACAAACAAAAGTACTTCGAACTCGCACGCCATCTCAGATGAAACTAAAAAATGGCCGTCAAAGCTGCGGTATAAGTCAGTGGTGCAGTATACGCGTTTAGGAGTGACCAGTTTATTGTTGCATCTCGGTATTTGCTTAGTGTTCGTTTATATTTATACGCAGTTGCGTCTTTCGTTTGTAATATATTCTCTATTTCGCGCGTGATTCGTTTAAAAAAAAAAACGGTAGAACTCATTAAAATGGGCCGTTCAAGATCCAGGACGAAATCTCCTAGCAGGCGGCGTCATAAGAGTAAGCATTCGAGGAAACGTTCAAAGTCACGAGAGAAACACTCGAATAACAAGTACTCTGACAAACCAAAAGAACGCAGTTCGAAGTCAAGGTAATTTGTTCTATTTTGTTGTCGAACGTGCATATTGAAATTATTTCGTTCGGCTGAGTTCTCCGCCATTTTGCCATGCGCTCGATAGGAGAGAATTTTTTATATTTTCTTATACATGTTATGTGTTGTTAGAAGTTACGACTTGCATCGTTATATGTACTTACTGCGCCGTAAATCATCAATTTTCTATTAATAAATGTTTCAGTTCCATTTAACGGTTCGATATACTATTTACGATGTTGGTTTAGAAACTGTTTTCAATTAGATTCAGTTTAAGTGTTTCTATTTGTGTAGGAAACGATCGCATTCTGCGTCTTCTAGTTCAGGATCAGATGTTTCGGACGATGTGCACATTGTCAGTCATAAGAAACGTTCTTATAGAGACAGGGATCGTAAAATGGACGAAGTAGAGAGGTTGGCAGAAATGGAGCGACAAAGGTAATTTATAAAATCTTTTTATCCATTTGAGATTCGTTAACTTTTGTCAAACATTTGTATCAGGAATGTTTCAATGTTGCATTTTCAATGAATCGAGTAAAAGATTAGTTCAGAGTTCTAGTACATTTGGATAGCATATTCTTCTTTTTTATATCGGATAATTGCTTATCATGCTCTAATCTATGATGTGTTTTATTTTTCTTATTTATTAAGTAATATAGTATATCTTTTACTTTATGTGCTTTAGTTCCATTGGTATACGTTTTTTTTATTTATAATTATGTTGTCAGGAAAAAGAAAGAATTATCGAACAAAATCTTCACCACGAGCGCAGTTGGGTAAGACCGTATAACTATTTCATGGTGGTGGTTTTATTATTTCACGTTTGTATATAGCTAAACATTTATTACTTTGATAAACTATATTTTGTAATTTTTGTTAAATAAATATGTATAAAGACTTACCGATTCCTTATCATTCTTTTTGTCTACTTACGGAGAATTAATATTTTACACCATCGTGTTTGCAACACTGTTAAAATAAACTCTGTTAAAATGTTTGCTACTCTTGTAGCATTAGAACAACAAAATATTTATATGGTTACAGAAGGCAACGCGAGGTGGAACAAAAAATGGTAGAAGAAGAAGCAGCCAAACGTATCGAAGAACTAGTGCAGAAAAGGGTGGAAGAAGAGTTAGAAAAACGTAAGGAAGAGATAGAAGCCGAAGTACAAAGGAGAGTAGAAGAAGCTAAAAGGGCTATGGAGCGTCAAATGATGGAGGAAATGGAATGGAGACAAGCAAAGCTTCGTGAGGAGGAGAAACGAAGAGAGGTAAGACCAATCCAGAGAAACATTGGCCAGTGTTAGCCCAAGCGCTGTTACGATCAATAGGACAGAAGTCTGGTGCTCTATCCTCGCATTATTTTTATATGTAAATAAGCACTCTATTTTGGTGGAAGCAAAGTTATATAATGCGAATCGAATATATTACGGAAGAAGTAAATTTTATAATTAATTTTAATAGCTTGATTGACTGGTAAGGTACACCTCGATTCCAGTGTTTACAAAACGTTGAACAAAGACTAGGACATTGTATGTTTGTGTGTGCAGCATAAAAAAAACTTAGAAAATTCTAATTGGACATTCCAGAAGTTGTTGAAATATTATTAGTTGGACATATATATATTATGACAACTAACAAGCGTGATCATAGTGTTATGTTAAGCGTGTATTTCGCGATCACAGCGTTTGGGCTTGAAGCATTGTGGTTGATGATTACGATAAAAGTGTTATTAAAAAGCCACAGTGCTTCGATTTCCCAGCATCCACTGAGGTCGCGTTGTTGGGAATGAATACTTTCTTTTGTGAGACAAATTTTGCTATCATAGGCGCATGTATCGATTATTTATGAACAGAATATTGTATTTGTACCATGTATATACTTATATATTTGTACAACATTAATACCTTTCATCACACGATATTTTACGATTGACAGTCGTATTCAGAATTGGAAGAATTGCGTTCGAACGTATTCACCGCGTTTTTGCTCGCAATTTTTACGATCGGTATACCTGTCAATCCAGCAGACCTAATTATTTGTCAGTCTAATTTATATCCGCGTATGCGAATGTCCACATAATCGCATCGTTCAGTCTTTAAAGAGTAGAGAAAGAAGCATCCGAATAATTAAAGTTAGTGATCCCAAACTTTGTAACTTGCTAAGAAGAAAAAACTAATCGCTAATTTGAAATAAAGTTATTTTTCTATTAAACTATAGGAAAATGAATATTTTTCCCTGAACAGTTTTTGCTGTCAGTGAATCTATAGACTTACGAAGTTATCGAATTTTTCTACTAGATTTCTTGAATTTTAGGTTTAAAGGTTGTTTGCACAATTCTTTTATTTTTAATTTTATTCGTGCACCATTAACGTTAATAAGTTTCTAATAACGATTAAAAATTAGACTTTACCCTTTTTTTGGCAGATACATACTGTTTTTCGGAGTACGAACGTTTTAATCTTTCTTTCTTTTGATAATCATAAAATATTATTAGGGAAACGAGTAGTCGAACGAAATGAAATAATAGAATCGTTAATAATTTTAATAATAATGAAGAACATTTATTTTGTCCCGTAACTTCACATTCTCGGCTCTAATAACAGCTTTAACAATATTAAATGAGTTACAAAAATGGGGTCCTGTTATTTGATCCAGTTGGCTAAGATTTAAATTAAATATTTTCAAACTGATTTCAATTGTTTTTTTATATATATGTGCTTCGTCTTTCTTCAAATACAAGTAGGAACTTTCTTCTACGATGTCTTTTCTGTACGAGTACAATTACTTATTATCACCCTCGGGAAATTAGCACGTTCCGGTCAAATGGACAGCGACCCTAATTACAAAGTTGACCATACTTTTATCCTTATTACTTTGCACATTGAGTTTGCACTGAATATGTGAACAAGTTTGGGCGAAAAATTAATTAGAAAGGGTGACGTGTAGACCTTAAAGGGCAGAATTAGAATCCCATAGCAACAAAGCACGACCTAGCAATATATAGGTCACCTTCCTTACTGACTACCAACAGAAGATGCCGGTTTTTTACTCACTGCTGAGTGATTGTCGATGAAGAAGGCATCCCCTACGTGCTGGCGTGAGCTTCATTCAGGTATTATCCAATTTATATATTCATAATTTCATTTTATACCAATATTATTATTATCATCATTCTTTGTTTCAAACACTATGTATCGGAAAAAGACAATACTAGGGATTATTTTAGATTTGCTAAATATTTATACCTGGGACACAACGCATTTCGTCGACAGGTCGGGCGGATGGCACCACTCGTTCGTAAATATGTTGTTTTTTTTTTGTTTTATGTTTTAACAAGTCGAAGAGACGTGAATAGCCATTATAATTCCTTCCTTTTTGCATTGTAAAAAGAATTAGAATACAGTTATATATATACGTGTTTGACTTTCTTTCTTAATTTCGATAAAGTACTCACACCTTTTCTGCATTTAGAGTTTCTTTTGCACTTAACAGAGTCACTTGACGCGTTCGCGTTTATGAAGAGAAAATTATAGTTTTTCGTGCGTTCTCTGTCTTTTTTTTCTTTCTTTTTTTTTTCTTTTGCATGCACAGTGAACTGATTCAGAAGCATAATTCACGTTTTTTCACTTTCAAGTGGCATCCTAAGTCGTCGTATTTCCATCTGGGGAATCTGACTATAAAACAGCATTCGCTGGAAAACTAAGAGAGGAGTTCGTTTGATCCAAACGAAGGAAAAATGGGTTTACATGCGTCCTCCGTTGCTTTTTGCTGAACAAGCCATCCATTTAATTCATTCAAACTCGACCTTAAAATTATCATGTTATTCCCGATATGAATCTTTCCCACATGAAAGAAGGTTCTTAGGATGTATAACACACTAGGCTGTTGACAATAGCGGCACTATGATTTTGGACATGAACAGTGTAACAACAAACTGGTGAGCGACATCATCATTACTTCGTGTAAATAGATTCCATTGTCGTTGTAGGAGGAAGAGCGGAAGAAGCGCGAGGAACTAGAGAGGATCATGGAGGAAAACAACAGAAAAATAGAAGAAGCTCAGAAGAAACTGGTAGGTCGATGGACGGAGTCGTGTACGAGCAATCTTGGCGACATTAATAACATTTCCTTTCGTTAGGCTGAGGAAAGATTGGCCATGGTCGAACAGCAACGTTTGATGGAAGAGGAAAGGCAGAGAATGAGAAAAGAACATGAGAAACGTGTTAAGGAGGAGCAAAAGAAAATCCTCGGGAAGAACAACTCGAGGCCTAAATTGTCCTTTACCCTAAAGCCAGTTACGTGAGTCTGTATCATTTCGAGCAGTTTTACATGTGATTTTTATACAACTTGTCGATATTTGGGATCATTTGTATTCCAATGGAACAATTTAAAAGCTGCGCGTACATAGAGGTACATCAATTGATGCAGCAACAAGATCCAAAGCTCACGCAAATCTATACGAAACGATCATCGAAATTTGGCAACGTTTGAATTCGTTTGTTCGATTATGATGGTCGATACACGCGTCACAATTGAATAATTAATTCTACGCTTTGCCAGGTTTCGATGTTCGATACAGATGGGATCTTAATCTTGTTCGAGAGACCAACACCCGTGCCAAAATACAGACAAGCACCTTCTTCACGCCGGGACATAAATAGTACCAGTATTCATCCTGACATATGTTGAAAATTATCTTTCTTTTTTTTTTTTTAAATACATACAACGCGTTACCAAGCAGGTATGCTTGATCTGTTTCTGGCAGAAAGTGTGGTCTAGTCTAGTTAGGTACGTTTTACAGATTGCAAATGCAATTTTCACGATACTACCGTTTCTCTGTAATTGTACTATACAGAAAATAATTTTATTTCAGTTAGATATATTAAAGAAACACGAATCGTATTAAAAGTATTCGTATTTCGAGATCTATGGCAGTTGGTAACTTTGAGACGGTCATATTATTAACACGACCAAGTAGATTTTGTAATTAAACGCAAATGCATAAATGAATTTTCTACCAAAATAGATAGTTATGAGCATCTGTAATACGAAATACACGAACCAGTTACGAGGCAATAGTAAACGGAGAACTACTCTCTTTCTTTTGTTTCCTTTTTCTTTTTTAGAATATTAACCGAAAATTATTACGGATCGTTCATACATTACAGAACTCGTTTGAATAAGAACAAGATAAAATATTCTTTTTTAATCGAAACCAAAGTAACAAATGGTATAAAAGAAAATGACACGTTAAATGGATCATTTTGTACGTGTAAAAACGTATGAATGCAACCGTGAACGAGTATGTCTTGTATGCAATCGTGTATAGATGTGTATCAATATAACGAAAAAAAACACTTGTTCGTATAGGATTGTATACTCGCAACATTGTTACTTGTAAAATAAACATGTTTTTATTACATTCCCTATCATCTTATTTTCTCCATCGTATTATAAGTGTCTCGTATCGTGAAGTTTATGGTTTTCGGGACGAACCTTGAGTCGTAAATAAAGCCTTGCCTCGAATTCCAAGGCACGCAGCTTTCCCAAAAGCGTGACCATGAAATGGATTGCGTTGCTTGAAAATACACTCGAACTTACCGCGAGTAGCCTTCTTATTTTTACGTCGATCTATAATCACTTTCAAAGACATAAATTTTAAGTTTGTCGTGTTCTCGTGATGATAAAATAAAATTTAAAATATAAACGATCACCTTTCATTGCATCCTCTATTACTTCCGGATAAAGTTTTTCCGTGACCGTACTACTAGGTGGATGAAGTCGAGGATTCGTATTGATTTCGATCAACCAAACCGACAGGTCATCCATTATTAAAAAATCAGCGCCGTACAATTGAAAGCTGTTCTTGCGATTGACCATGTTTTCTTGAGATGCTAGAAGTGCACCTATTAAATTCTGCTTTATGCCTGGTTCGATGAGCATCTCCCATGCCGATTCTCGATCAGTATTTCTGAGAAAGAACACGATAGAATAACCAAGGTTCATCATAAAAGTAGAATTAAATGCATACCTTAGATATTCTTTGAATTTCTGAAGATTCCAATGAAGTTCGTTAGGTATCTGTGCGTTCTGCTTCACTGTTTTTCTATACTTGAGTTGCACGGTTGTATTGCACAGATGAATCGATTCGTGATAGCTCTCGAGCGTAAAATCTTTCGACGCGAAACGAAGCAGAATATCCCTTGAAAATAAGCGATTCAGTAAATAAATCTTAAACAACCGCGTACAAGAGAACGAGAAAAAGATCTTGAAAAGCACTTGTACATCCAAACGATAAGGGGTTGCGTGCTGGTGATCAAGAACCACTGTCGAACGTCCACTTTAGTTTTGTGAACGAGCAGAGGTCGTTCTGGAAACAATTTTAACGTTAAACATTCTGTAAATTACGAGTTTCTTTAAGATATACCTATATACTTCTGTACGACGTATTGCATACATTCCTTCGTGGCTTGATGTATCTTGTTCAGGATTCCCTTTAATGAACTTTTTAAAAGTATACCTCTTCCTAAACTCTTGTCACCTGGTTTCAAGATCCACACGTTCTTCATTCCGTCGATATGACTTTGGGGTTTGCACTGTGTCATTTCCTTCAGAGTGTTATCCGTAAATTGTAAGAGTTCCTGACAAAAGTATCCGATAAAATTAATCTTCGTTTCAATATTCGCATCGGATTCATACTTCGATGTCTATTCCCTCATTCTTTTCCAACGTTTCGTGTCTGTGCAGTAATTGTTCGTGCCATGATAGGAACAAAGCCCAGTCGGAAGGCGATAAGCTCTTGTACCTTTGTCCGTCGATATCTTCGTGTTCACAGACGCTGTAATTCACAATATGATTGTTCATCGAAAGAATTGAAATTATGCATTGGAACGTCGTTGCAACCTTATATATTCCGCGCATCGTTCCAGAGCGAACAAAATCGCCTTTATAGGAACAGTACCGCTCGAAGACCAGGCATTATTTGGTCCAGCGATGTTGGCCAAAAATACGAACCACTTGAGAATCCCCATGCATGCGGTGATGTAGAAATCTTGTACGAATTCCTCGATCTGAACGGCCTGCGTAAATGCAAGACACGTTTGCTCGGCAACCGTTCAATGCAAGCGATTTAACGAGTACTCTTACGAACCTGATAAACGTTATAGCATCGGGGAAACTGAATATTCGATACACCGGCTTCGTAAAACCAGGAAACATTTTCCAAGTTATTGCACATGTCTACCTGAATGTATTGAAACGTTTGCATATCAATTTTTAGCTTAAAACTCGGTGAAAAATCAGTTACAGCAGAAACCTTTGAGGTGAAGTAGCACCCTGAAAATTTATTAACTATGGTCTTTTCGTCCGTTCTGGCAGCTACTTTTTTGTTCGTGTACCATATGAAATCCGCCGGATAACGTAAGAACTTTTCAATAGTCTCGATACCAGCTATAACAATTATTTTCGTCATTTTCGATATTAGTCGTTGGAATTTCTATTTAGTAACCTTCAGACATTTCCGGAGACGTCGAGAATAATCTCCTGATGAATCTTTTCTCTATCCAGCCTCTTCTACCTAAAGGCTTCCTCAGCACCGGGAAATTGCCATAAATCACGAAAATTTTGTGTTCGTTCACTGCCTTCGTCAACACTTTTAATATAAAATTAACCTTTGCCTCTTCGTTAGTGAGGAGCTTCAGATAGTCCCTTATGATGACCCTGCCTTGTGCTTGTTCGTTTTCTTTCTCGTATTCTTTCAACAGATCGTCCAAATCGTCGCGATTGCAAAGAATCTCGACGTTCGCTGTTTTCACCGGTTCTTGGATCGTTTGAGAATTCATGTTCGTGTCTGACAATTTCCAAGCGAATTCTTGATTTCCTTTGGTTGCCTTTACGTCTTTTAGATTTATCTTGCGGAAAATGCAGTGAAATGGTGTAAATGTTTTGGAACGCTTTATAGCGTCGATGAAATTCTCTTGCTTAATCAGTAAAATGAAAGTTGTTCTCGTACCTGCCAACCGTGACAGTGCTTTTTAATCATACAGTCTGCGGAAGTTAAAGTGATTTGCCATTTTCGTGTGTTGATAATGTTCAAGTTTTTCAAGCTTTCCAAATCGTATTTTTCCTCGTTTTCTGATATTTCGTCATGGTTAGAATCTGGAATTGATTCTTGACTTTTGAATAATTCCTGATTTTCCAGGTAAACTGTCCAACCACAATTCTTTATTTGTCTCATCTTGCAGACATACAATTAACCATGAATTTATATATTTTAACATTTTAACCGCGTCCGTGTATTTTACATTTTAATTTCTCTTATGAATATCCGAACCTGACTTCGTTGACAATCGATTAGTACGTTTCGATTTCTCGATACTGCTACATGTTCACGATCGAAAATAGTAGAATACTTTCAAGTTTTACTATGCCGTCAAATGGTTCGAAAAAGCAAGCCACGCAGCTGGAATGTTCGCTTGCAACAAATCTTCGGACATTCCAAGTTTTTCGTTGTTGCTTCTGTCCCATGTATTCTTGCAAGTTCTGTACATTCTCACTGCTCTGTGCATCGATTCATTCAGAAACTTTTCCAACTCAGGCTTTTTAAAGACTGGTCCTGTGATTTCAACCTCATCTATTTCTGGATTGTCCACGATTCTCTTTTCACTTTGACTTGGATTTTGATTTTGACTTTGACTTTCACTCGGACTTTGCTCTTTATGGGGTTCTATTTTCACCAGATTGGTTTCTGCAAGTTTGTACCTCGGTTTGATACTGTCCTGCTCGCTCAGCGTATGAATCACGTTTTCCATGGACTTCAGCAAACGCTTGTACTTAACGATTCTGTTTTCGAACGTATTTCTTCTCTTACGTACAGTCACATTGATATTATTCGGAAGAACGTACGGTCTTCTGGTCCCATGAAAAATGTGTTTTGAGTCTGCAACAAACATTATTTTTCTGGAACACGCGTTTCATTTTAGACGATAACTTTGTAATCCAATCAACTTTTACCTGGGAATACATGCGTGTATCTGTTATCGTTTACGCATTGCACCAACAACATTTTACCTTTTTGTTCATAATTTTTATATTGTAAATTGCTGTTCACTGCCAAATTGGTTTTGTCATTCGTTAACTGTACAACTTTTGTAGGAATATTATCCGCTTTTGATAACAACTTTTTCAAATTCAGTTTCGCAGTATTATTCCGATGAATGTACAATGTTTCGTCGAATTTTACTCTCGGTAAATCGAGTATTTTTTTATCCTGATGAGAAATTTCATCATCGAACATGTACACAGTACCTGAATTTATCGAAGACACGTCTGTCCATTCTGTTACATTTATGGGTTCACCGAAATCAAATTCTGAATCAGACGAATCGAAGGGTGTTGGTAATTCGTCCGGTAGCTGCAAAGTGCAATTGTTATACAGGACACATTTGATGAGTTACTTTATAAAACATTAACCTGTACGAGTTTACGTACCTGAGATTGTCTGAAAAATGTGCACTGAAAATTATCTTCTATAGGAAGGACATTTTTACCTGAACCTGGAGAACTGTCTGTACAAGCAGGTTCTCCAAGTTTCCAAGACGAGTCGATACACTCCATTCCACGTGACAAGTATGCACAGATAAAACGTGTACCACTTGAGTTTTTCACAGGTTATCATTTACGAATCGATATTAAAGAATAATAATTTCCATCTCTTTGCCTGTTACACTTGTAATTTTGCTATTTCCTTATGTTAGTCGGGATTCAAGTTATTAATTTAGTTACATCGATTCATAATTTCTCGATCAGCTTTTGTTCGTCGCGTTTTATATACAGTGTTAGGAATTTATTTCTATTTATTTTCAGGAAACATCGATAGAACGAAAAATGACGTACATTTAACGTGGATAGGGTAAGCTTTATTGACTACACGTATTCCATAAGTACAGTTCAGACATCTAGAATAGTTAACAATGGTGGGAAGCAAAGAATAACGAGTGCAAATTACGAAGACTTTTTCTATCACTTAGTCAGCCTCAGACCAACGGCATACATGTCGGTGATGTCTGTTAGAACTTTGTTCTTCCTCTGACGGCTAGGTTTCCTTGGAGCGTTATGATTTTTCTGTTGCCCAGGATGATTTATCCTATGCGTGGATAAGGGGGACGGTAACACAGGTCTTTCAGGCGACGTTCCGGAAAGAGCAGCGTTCTTTTTGTATTTTTTGATCGCATCTCGCATCACTGTCTTGATGATCTAACGAATTTAAATGAAAATGCAACTTCGACAGAGTACAATGACACAACTACTGGATGTCTGAATCTGTTTAAACCTTTTCTTCGTTTTGCTTCGATGGTTTGTCCGTTTTCGGCGCCAGCTTCGTTGATTGCTTCTGAATAGCTATAATCTTCGAAACCAAAGACTGTCTCGTAGGAGACGCGTTTCCTTTGTTGTTCGTTGTTCCAGTGAAAGTGCGCGATTTCCTTGGTGTTCGTGTCGCGTTCTTCTGATTGCTTCCACTTTTATCTTGATTGTTCTGCGAAACGCGAAATACAAACGCAAATTTCACGATTTAAAACCATCATTTGTTCCAGCTTTTTACCTGAACCACCGTAGGCGTTTTCGCTTTAGAATGAGCAACCGTGGTGCTCACAGGAGCACTCTTCACGGTTGCTTCCTGCTTATCGATCAATACGGCCGTTTTCAAGGGTTTTGCCGGTGCGCTCGCTGGCAGTGCTTGTCTCAGCTTAGGCGATTCCACTTTGTAATAAGCGTAGAATTCCTGATCGAGCTGAATTTCCAGTTCCTCGATCAGATCTACGATCACTGGTCCGATCTGATTATGCACCGTCGATTTTTTCTTCGTCAAACACGTCTGAAACCACGTATCAATTTATCGCTTAAACGTGAAAATGTAGTCTCAGATTAATTCATTTACGGTCGATACCTACCATAGGAGATTTCGATACGAGATTAACTTTTGACTCTTGGTTACTCAAAGGCTTTTTGCCACAAACTGTAATCCGAGTTCCTTGAAGAGACAGGGCTGCACCGAGATAAGGCTGACAACTAGGTATTCTCTGCTTATAAGCCAACTCGAACTGACCCGTATCCGCGTTTTTGTCTTCTCGAAAATCGATCACCACTGCAGAAAGAAGAATCGAGATTAAATAAACGAGTTTAGGAATTTATGAAGGTAAGTTCGTGTTACTGCAACACCTTTTATGGTATCCTCCAAAACCTGTCGACACAGTCGCGTTGTAACTTTGCTCGAGTAACTCATGTCAGGATGACTGTTGATTTCGATCAACCAAACCGAGAAATCCTCCATGACCATGAAATCTGCGCCGTACAACTCGAAACTGTTTTTTCGACGATCCATAGCCTCTTGGCTAGCCAACAGCGAACCGACCAGGCCCTGCTTCATCCCTGGGTAAATTATCTCGTCCCATGCTCTCTCGTGTCCCTGAGATCTATCAGAGTTGCGTCAATCGCAAAACCTTGACCCAGTGATTTCGTGTTTCAATTAAATCGAATCGTACTTGAGGAACTGCTTGAAGGACATGACATCCCACATGTTGTCCGAGGGCAATGCAGGATCCCTATCGCCGCAATTCGTGTACTTGCATTGGATCGCGTGATTGCACAGGTGAATCGACTCGTGGAAATCTGTCAGACTGAATTTCTGGGAGCAAAATCGCAAGTAACTCTCTCTGCGAAAGAAGATACGTCTCGTCACAAATTAGCGAGGCAATTCGTCCCCTACCGTATCGAACTGTTGTAAAAATCGTAAATCAAAGGGTTCCCCTACATTACGACACTTTCTGTTTGTTCTGTTCTCGTTCCAAAGCATTGTGCATCATGTGCGAAGCGCGTGCTAAAAATATCCAGCATTACTTCGCGAAAACCACAATAGGCTACGCAACAACAATAGCAGAAGCATTTACTTAAACTGGGTTAGGAAAGATCAATTTCATAGGGGGATGAGTACACAACCGGTAATTTACTGCGGTTGGTTTGTTCGAAAGTAGCGAATTACCTTATTGTACCTCTAAATATAGAATAAAACGAGTATCTTTCTCGGTTGCAAACTATTCTGGACATGCATTAACGATAATTGCAACGAGTGCGTCTTGTGTACGCCAATTAAACGACCCAGATATTTTATAGACACGAAATCGTAGCACGGAACAAAAACTGGCTCGACTTGTGCACGTATCTGCTCACTTCAGAAAGATAATTATAATTCGAAGTTTACTTGTATATCCAAAAGGTCAGAGGCTGAGCACAGGTAACGATGAACCATTGCCTAATATCGAATTTCGTATTGTGTATCAGCAGCGGTCGTTCTATAATGAACAAACGATAGTACCAATTTGTAGACACTTTTATCCATAGTTCAACCCTTTGCGGTTCAAATTTGCTAGACAGATCGATTACCAATGTACTTTTGTACGACATAACGAGTATCCGATTTATTCGATGGGTTCATTTTTGCCATCACATCTTCTAATTTGTTCAATAAAACGATCCCTCGACCACGACTCTTGTTGCCTGGCTTCATGATCCACACGTTCATCATTCCATCCATCTCGAGTTGCGGCCAATATTTTTTCATCTTTCTCAAGATATGCTTCGATGCCAGGAAGATTTTCTATTCGCATCAAACTAGATTAATATAACCCTCGCGGTGCTACTTCCTCGCAATTCGTGCGATTCGAGAAAACTGCTTACTTGGAGCGGTACATTGTTTCGAATGAAGGATGCTTGACCGTGAACGATCTGATAATACCAACTTATAAACTGGTCCCATTGATGCGTCCATACTCTTTCCGCTTCCTGATCGATATCCTCGTGGGACTGTGCACTGATGTAGTCGCTGCATCGTTTGATCGCGAACTCTAATGCCTTCAGAGGCACCGCGCCAGTTGGAGATCTGACCGCGTTCTCGCCTTCGGTATTTATCTTGTTAACCAGCCATTTTAATAAACTCAAACAAGCTGTGAATCTAAGAAAGAAAGGAGAAAGCGATAATAAATATTAAAAGATAAAACGAATCGTTTTATTTATCGATGTGTTCACCGAAAATCCTCGATGAAAGCGTGCATCTGATCGCCTTGGCACAGATTGTAACAACGTGGAAATAGGGTATTTGCCACTCCTGCCTCGTAGTACCAGTGCATTTGCCTAACGTTCGAACATAGGCCCACCTAAGATAATCGATTTACCTTAGAAGCATATATTATCCTCCCGATACGAAAATTGGCACAAACGACCAAAATTAGTCAAGACACCATTTCTCCTACCTTCGATGTGAATCCTGCTCGACAGTACCTATTGAAAATCGTGGTTTTGTTATCCTGTGACGGCCATCCTGGCCATTCTGATCCTGTGTTCCATAGAAAATCAACCGTGTGATTTGCGAGCATTCTCGATATTAATAGACGTTCGCTTTGTTGATCTTTTAGATCACCGATTCCAGCCAACAGTATCACAGGACTTGCATTCACGTTGAAGTGTTGATCGCCTAGAAAATCGTTTATACCATAATACTTCAAGAATTAGGGACAAAATTTCGACGAAGTACCATTAGAATTTTTCCTGAAGAACTTTTCGCACCACCCTCTGCTCAGCATGCATTCGCGAATTACTCGAGCTTTTCCGTAAACCATGAACGTGTGATGGGCTTCAATCGCATCTTTCACCAGTTGTTTGATTCGCATGAATCGTTCGTGGAGAGTTGGTTGGAATTCTAAGTTGAGCTCTGCTTTCTCTACGTGCAAAAACGATTGACACCAGAATGATCATTACGAGATATATTTCAAATCATACCTTCGACCACTTTCGTATCCTCAGGAGTAGTTTCGGTAGCTGGCTTTGCCTGGGATTCTGCTGAGTCATCCTCGACCATTCTTTCTTCATTCTTGTCCGCTTTTTCCGCGTTGATCGGCTCCAAATTCGACGGCGCCTCATCATTCGCATTCATGTAGTGTATTTGCAGGTGTGTGAGCTCTTATGCACTGATGCACTTCAGATTAATCCTTAATTTTGCTTCATTGCAATGTGGTTTGTTGGAGGAAGGATGGGCCCAGGCTGGTCGACGTTGCTTTATCCTGGATCAGCTTGTAGAACATCGTGTTAAAATTTAAAACATTATTTGCATACTTATTTGTATTAAAACGCTAGCCTCGAAGATTGTTCTGCACGTTGCACTGCCGTGTTCAAATCTTCGCGAACGTTCGTGTCGATTCAATTTCTACGAGTACCTGTTGAGTCTTAGATGTCCTTCCGTTAGCATCCTTCTGTGCGATTCAGAGGACACAGATTTCGATTTCTAATTAATAACGAACAGATTGATCGACAACGAAAGAATTGTCTGAAGATCGCATGACAAAAACCAACATTCCCTGGGCCGCTGAAAATTCGTGCTTCGAGATGACGAATCGACGAGACGGAAGCAAAACTCCGACTGAACGTCATCAACGACAGACACGAGGTATGTGTTCAGAATCGAGAATTCCGTAGGCGTGCGCCCTGAAAACGTTTTAAACCGCCCCAACTATTCGGCCGATTGGATAAGATCGCATGACTACGTCCTCCTAGAACCTATAACTAACATCGTGTCGCAAAATTCGTGGATCTTAGATCGACCTATTGATAAGACTGACCATTCAGATTCCTCAAAGGTCACGAACACTGTAATTCCAAGAATGTACTTAAGCGGAGTTTATGATAGTGCATAGATGCGTATCTTGATTCTAATTCCGACCGAAAGCGAATAGAAATCGTTAAATAAAGAATGAATCGTGACATGTCGAGCACATTTATAATTACAATTGTAGAAACATGGTTAAATTCCAAGGAGGCCAAAAATGGCTAGAAAGGGGTTAGGAGGTGGTTTGCTGAAACTGGATGAGCGTACCAGGCACCCCTACGGAACTTCTCGACGGCCGAATGTAAGTAAAGAAGCAAAAGCAATCGCGTGGGTTAACCCAACCACTCTACAATCTCTGACCTACTTATGCGAGTACATCTTGGTTCGCGTGAAGAGCCGCCCTGACGAATCACTTCGACCCGCTATCGCTAATTGCATGAGTTCGATTTTCACGCTGATAATCTTATCAGAAATACGATAGTCGTACTATTTATGGAAGTCGGTCGATCTTTACGCGTTTTACTTATCGATCATTCCCTTTGCTCGATCGTTACGTGTGATAAAAGCAACCACCAAGAATTATTGTCTATAAGATTGAGTTTCTTGCAGAATCGACCTCTAAACCTGACGAGATTCAGGATGAACCGCTTACTCTTTCAAGGTCCCCTATCATTGTTGTATCCTTCTGCTTTAATTTCTTACCATTAGACGTGATTTGGTATGTGTTGTGGGAAATCATAGAATACAGCTTTGGAACCACATTCGGAGGAATATGATGCGTGTGTAAGATGAGCCCTTATGGATGCTTGTGGACTTGTTACTGGAATATTGAAAAGGGTAGGTAATAGAGGCAAACAACTCCGAAAGTACGAATGATCCAGGGGATAAACATGTCACTGTCGTTGACATGAAGCATTTGAAAATAGTGAGAAATGAAGTTGGTTGCTGGAGTCAATCCAAATTGATTCCCCTACGACCTATGTTAACATGTTTCTTTGTACGATTTTATTACATCTTTAATTTACGGTATGACTTTGTAAACATTTATGATGTATTCACGATGACGTTCGAAAACATTATCAACTGCTTGTCTTATGATTTTCTCGATGTTTGTAACGCAAAAGTTAAAGTATATGTATGTTAATGCAAGTTTAAATGCATTTGAAAAGTTCCACGTTGTAAGCGTTAATGTATATAAATATGAATAATTAACTCGCGGTTATGAAATAAAAACGAAATTAATTTTATGGAAATAACAGTCATTTAAAACATCGCGCCACGCAATGGTTCGAAGAGCGTACGAACTGCTACGATGACTTATCAGTCGGTATAAAAGATTAGGTAGCTCAAAACTCCCATACGCTAACCTAAACGGTCAAACATAATCGAAGCAATTCATTCTTGTCATTCCACGAGTGAACTGTTGCAAACGGATGCGTGGCAAATATGGCTCAATTCATAAGAAACATTGCTATTTTACTCTTTACGGAGAAATGTATGGAAGAGTATTTTGACGAGTTCAATTTTTTTCACGGTATGTACACAAGTTTCATTGATAAAAACAACGAATAGTCATTCGTTTTTATTAAACTATAGTAATTATATAGTACTACAATAATATCTGATGGCGCTATACTATTGAAATCACGTGAACACCATGAGCGTAATTTGAGCATGTGAAAAATTAAAATTTTGTAAAGAAAATTTTTATAGAACAGTAAATAAAAATTTCGTAAAAATAATCCTAAATACTTTTTATAACTTTACAAATTTTAAATATAAAATTATTTCTGTCTGTTTTTCAAAAGTGAGTTTTTAAACAAATTTTCGAGTAATCGATATATTTACGAGTATCAGACGATGCTCAATTTTTGTTTTTTCCTCACCATAAAAATTCAAAGTCACCTAACGAGAAAAAGAAGTTTATATTTGAAATCAAAATGAATATTTTACGAAAGAGATACGAGTCCTTAAACGTTAAACATGAAAATCTTGAAAATGTTTCAGTCGGATGTTTCAAAGCAACGCTTAGCAAAGGTCTAGGCCTCGGAATTATCAGCGGGTCTCTTCTCGGTTAGAAATTTATTTTCTTACGACGTTTGTATCAATTAAACTTTCTACTTAATTATTTTATTTCAATTTATGTGATCATATACATTCATTTGTTATAACTATAATTTTAAATATGTTGTATGTTTTCTTTTACAATTAAATTTGAGCGAAACATTGCTTTCCTTACAGTAATTATTTCATTTTAGTTAAAGTACCACAGATTGTAAAAATCTTAAAAAATAAAAGTGCAGAAGGCATCAATGTTTTCAGCGTCTTATTGGATCTCTTTGCCATTACTTCAATGATATCTTACAGCTTCATCAGCGGTTTTCCCTTTAGGTAATATGATGACAGAAAGAAACTTCTTTATTGAGATTGAGTCACATTCTGGATAAATAAACGGATGTATTTCAGTTCTTGGGGAGATGGAGTATTCCTGGGATTGCAAACCCTAGCAATTGCAGTTTTAGTCATGCATTTCAGAGGAAATACTGTTCAAGCAACTGCATTTCTAGCTGCTTATATTGCAGTTCTATTTGCTGCTACGAGCGGGTTGACTCCAGTGAATGTTCTCTGGACTTGTCAAGCGATGAATATACCCATTGTGCTTGCCAGTAAGGTATGATGCTTGGAAATCAAGGCCATCATTGTAGAGATAACGGATCATTAATGTTTTATGCTGTTTTCAGTTGATGCAAGCTTATACGAACTATTCTAATGGAAGTACAGGTCAGTTGTCGGCAGCAACTGGCTTTATGCTTTTCTTTGGATCCCTGGCAAGGATATTTACTTCTATCCAGGAAACAGGAGATAGGACAATGATAATTATGTATATATGCTCTACTGCTGCAAATGCGGTGATAGCTGCTCAGATTTTATACTACTGGAATGTGGAAGCGAAAACCATAGAAAAGACAAAGAAAGTTAGATAGATAAATGATTAAATCTTTTTGGATGATGCAAATATGTTTAAATCTATAGTATTCCAGAAGAGAAGAATTGTATCCAAATATTACTTCTCGAAGAAACATCTCGAATATCATCACTTTATTGCAAAACAATTCAAAGAATTGTTTTAAGTGATAACTCATTAAGTTAAATTTATGGCGAGTCACAGTGACCCTATGGTTACAACCTTTGTTACATAAAATATAAAAATAAAAATGGTATAAAAATGGTATTTGTTATTATTTATGTAGGTCCGGCGATAATATTTTTTGAACGTATAAAAAAGATTGTGTTCAACATGTCGAATTTATCGTTTTAAGTTTACCGCCTTAGCGGAAGTGGCGTACCGGTCGATATTTTCAAAAAAGGTGGGGGTAAAACGATTTACGCAAGCGTTTCCTATCCTATCGTTTCCGGTTCTGTTGTAATCGTGACTTGTGTGGCGTACGGTGAAACTGAAGCGCGCAGTTGTTTAATCGTCGACGATGTTGCATAGTGGACCGTAATATAGTTGGAAAACGCATTAACAGATCGTCGGAAGATAATACGAGAACAACGGTAAGTAATAATCCGGGTTCTTTTTTGGCCCGTTTGGCATGCCCGTAAAAATAATGGGCGTGGATGAGCCTTGGAATAAAGAGGTGGCCATTTGGAGCGTCATGGCGCCATCAGCCTTCGCAATCCGGCTTCCCGACGACCATCTTGTTATCGATAAATCAATATAACGCGCCTTTTCTGCTATGTAAGCGTTTTTCTTATATAAAAGAATATTTCACGGATCTATTCTTTTACGTCGTTGTTACAATTCGACGAAGGAATATCAACGGCTGGAGGTAAATTGTTCAGGGAACCGGTTCTCGGTAATTCGCTTTGTGTCTAAGCGCATTCTTGCGCAGAATACCATCCTTTTTTGGAACATGATATATGCGGTTCTTACGAAACCGTACGAAACAGAGACATTTTTACCGCTAACATTCAACCGAATCTTAGACGATTGAAAAACCAGAATTTTCTGGATATCACCGTGGAGAGTGATTTATCCATTACAAACACGTGTCCTTGGCTGTTGGATGAGGTCCTTTTTTGCATGCCAATTTCGGGCAGTCGGTCAGAGGCAGCTGTTAAAAAGTTTTATCTATATTTGGAAAATATCTTGGATATTGACGTAAAGAAGGAAAAGCATTACGAATCCGACGATTTTCATAGTATTGCAGGACTAGGTTGCTTGCAGTACTGAATCAAAATGGAATCAATGGATGCGCGTCTTGTGGCGCAAGCATTGAACTACCATGGCCAACAGTTGCAGAAAGTGTGGGAGGGAGAACGCAACGAGAATGAGCTGGCCATGCTCAATCTCAAGGAACCAAGTTTTGAGATCTACCAACAACGTCAGAAAACGCTTAGGTATATATTTTATCGTGTGCTTAAACAACAATATTAGAGCTCCCTATGCCTACAATAATTATTTGATGTGCTTTTTTCCAAACAGTTTTGGCGATAGAGGTAAAAGACTAAAACTACAACAATTCCTTGCAAAGAAGGCAGATGCCCTTTATGATAAAGCAAATTTGGAGAAAACAGTTGAACCTATCAAGCAAGAATTAGGAGATGAAGGTATAGCGTTGATCTCTATCATCTAGATTTCCTCATACAGTTATTGCGCAATAACATGCAACCTATGAATTATGTCATATTTCAGAATTTTATGCAACAATGCCAGGCCTTGATACCTTTGTTACCATGGAAAAGTCTCAACGTATACGTAATTTTTTGGAGGTGATTATTTATTATTTCGACAATATATCCAAAAATACGTAATATTATCGAGATATTATGAAAAAATTTATTTCAGAGTTTGGTCGTTGGAGACGTTATTTACGCGCAAGTTATGGGTAAAAGTGCTGCTGGGCTTCTTCTGAAGGTGCTTTGCAACTGCAGCGACTGCCCGAGAGTTGTTACCGATTTAGGAGTTAAGGTACATGAAGACTATTTATATTGTTTTCACATTTTCGTTGCTTACATTCTTTTACCATTTTATTAAACGATGTTGTTTAACGAACAGGCTCTGATATTAAACACGGCCACAGTGCCGGCGGTGGACAAGAAAGGTGTTACAAGAGGCTACATGGCAAATGATCTCATCTGCGTCGTAGTCAGTGAAGTTAACGTTGAAGCTGAGCGAGTTGTTGCAGTTATGAACGTACCTGCCCGCGAAGGGCAAGCCCCACACCCACCTATGGGACTTATCCATTCGGATGATCTTCCAGAAGCTTATAAGTAAGTAATGAAAAATCTGGATAAGTATACTTATTCTTTGTATTTAAAATAATGCTTCACTAACTTTTGTAAACTGACATGTATATCACTATAGGAAAGTTTGTATACACGATATAAACGGTGAAAGTGATTTGTGATGCATTGATAGCACTTTTGATTCAAAATTTTTATTTGAATTACAAACCGTCCTTTGACCGTTTGCTTATTGCGATATATCTTGAGAGCACTAGTGCACTAACGAAGGCAGGGGAAATATTTTTCTGATAATTGTAGTTTCGAATTTAGGATCGATGTATTAATATCGATCATGATCGAAATGCATCTTCTATCGACAATGTAGTTATCTCGTTTCTAACTTGCATATTAAGTGAGAGTACAGATAAGCATTTTTAGTGTTTTATTTGATATTTTTCGTTAAAAAAAAAAATAATGAAAAGGTAAGGAACATGGTATGGTGGCCGAAAGAAGTTGAGATTTAACAGACGCACTGTGATACTAACAAAACAAGGTAAATTAGATTTGATTCCTCTTACACGTTTTTATGAATTTAGGTGCCAGACACTCTCAGTAACGTAAAAGTTGATAGTCAGTATGATGATGAATTTATAATGTGATACAAATGATTCAAACCTTGAGCATTGGTTGACATGGCTCTGTTGCGCACAATATTCTATCTACGTTTGTGATATGTTACTCTCAAAGCACCAGCCAAACAATGGCGCCAAATGACATCAATGTCTTTTGAGGTTGCATTTCCAGTATGAGATGTTGAGCCTTGGGTGGTCAGAGTGAGTGCTGCAGACGGTAGGTATAATAATGATTTATTGTTGTTTGGTCTCTTATTGTAAACGAATGATAAAATTCCAAAACTAGCGAAAGCGATAAAAAAGTAAAATGAAGAAATTTTGTAGACGATTTATTAAAATGTTTTTCATGCTATCAAGAAATTATCACAGAAACATTTTAATATATAGGAGAGAGTTATATTATCTGTCCAGAAGTTCCATATATTTTTCGCATAGATTAAATTGTCAAATAGAACGAAGACGTAGGGTTCGAACAGAACTAAAATTTGAACTAGAGACCAAATAACTGAAATCTTAATCGCCCGAACCTTTACCTTTAAGCCTCAAAAGAATTGCGCCTTGTCATAATAATGCCTCATTTAAACTTACAGCTTAAATTGACAAATAAAAAATCTAAAAAAAAAATGATGTCATGTTTGAATTGACACCACAAAATGCAAAACAGGCGACAGTACCTACTACTACATATATAAAAAATATATATTTTTTTGGTCAACTTGGAAGATAAAATATACTCAGGCGTGGCTCCCAACCTATCCTAGGGCTATGCAATTTATTTTATCGCACCAAAAACTTATAAAAACCGAACCACCGTCGATTGATGATAGGCTGTGTGCTTTTGTGTTGAGAAATCCTATGATTACAAACATGATACAAAATACTAGAAATATACGTCTTAGCGGTACATGAAAGGTGAGAGACGAGTTTACATAATAATGAGGTTGTGTACCATTGTAAATTTATAAATAAGAAATTATCTGGTAATAAAGGAAACCTACCAACTTTCTGCAACGTATCCCTGTTTTGGACCCCTGCTGCTTCTTAACGGTACAAACGTAGATTCTGATCGACTCTAATATCATAAGATGTTTTGACGGTCTTTCTCAATTTTACAATCGAGAGAAGCCTTGTTCTTTTGAAACATCTTTGTTATTAGTGTCGCATCGTTGTATAATTCATGCAGATCGAACCGGGGAGACGAAATTTTTGCTCAGGGATGACAACATGCTAAAATGCAAGGTATGCCGTACCGCACGTTAACACGTATAAGGAACTGCAGCACGGATATGCATACTAATATGCTTAAACGTAGATAAAACGACAAGATGTCAAAAAGACTACGAAGGGAAAATGTATGAGGATATTGAAATAAAAAATCTGTAGCATTCCTCTGTCAGAAAACGAAACCATGACATGCAAAGTTTCGGTCGCCATGATTATCAAGTCTTTAGTTTTGCCGTTAACGAAGTAGCTTTGGTATCCTCTTTTTGGCAAAGGTCAAGATGATCTTTGTACTTCGTTAATTGGTCGTTTTCTTTTGTGGTATAGGAAAGCAATGGACAACAAAGGACAGTCTTACGAAGCGATGTTGGAGAATAGTACTGGCTTCAACAACCCAAACAACATTAAATATCTTTGCGACTTGATGGGTCTCGGGCAAGAGAACCATTCAAATATGGTTGGTTTGAGGTACATTATCGAACGTTCGCTGAAATTTTCCTATCGAATAATTAGTTAGGTACTTCTATTATAGCCGTCGATTATTTGTTTGCAGGGAAAGATTTCCTCCGAATGAATATGCGACCGAATTAAGGCAAGCACAAGCTAGTAAATGGGCGTTTCGAAGCGTTGCTGAGGGTATAGATCATTTCAAGGCTGGACGTCATACAGAAGCCTTCCAGTGTTTGAACAAAGCACTAACCGTTGACCCACGAAATGTCGAGGGATTAGTTGCTCGTGGAGCATTGTAGGTCCCTTTACCTGAACTCGCACGTTCAATCGTACCGATTCATCTTGTACGTGTAACTTTGCTTTTGTTACAGGTACGCAAATAGCGGCAGTTTTAAGAAAGCCATCGATGACTTCGAGACTGCGTTGAAGCTGAATCAAACTCACGCGAACGCGCGCAAATACATGGCTGAGACACTGGTTGCTCTAGGTCGGAGTTACGAAGACGAGAAGAAGTACGAAGATGCCCAAAAAGCATACGAGAATTGCTTGGTAATTGCTCCGTACCACGAAGAAGCCAGAAATTCCATCGAATATATCAAATCTAAGACATTGACGTCTACTTTGAATCCATTGGACACGTTCAAAAGTTTCGAGGCTGAAAATGACGTCGGTGAAAATAAAAAGGAAAAGAAGAAACGCAAGAAAGAAAGGAAATCGCGTTCGAAGAAAAGGCAGAGATGGAGTTCGAGTTCGAGTTCGTCATCGAGTGGATCTTCAAGCTCCTCCAGCTCTGAATCGAGTAGCTCGTCGTCGTCCGGAAGTTCGCGATCGGCATCCAGGTCACCTAGTCGTAAACGAAAGCATAAGAAAGATCATCGTGGTTCGTCGCTGTCGCCTCTTAGCAAACGTATGGCACAGTACAATAATCCACCGGCTGCTACAACAGCTACACATGATGTTATAGCACCGGTGACTTATGGTACAAATACTCGCGATAAGATGGACGATTACGAGATAAAAGTACGGAAATTCTTGGAGCAAACAAAGGACGACTCGGATTACGAAGATAAGGTAAATATTATCTATTTTTCAAAAGCATTTTCCATTTGCTCTTGTTGATTATACAGCATTAAATCGTATGTCTTATTTTCTTGTGTACACAGGTAAGGAAATTTTTGGAGGAAACGGCTAGATGGAAGAGGGAAAGAGAAAAGGAAAAGAAACATTCGGAAAGCGAGAAAATGAAGAAAAAGAAGAAGAAAGAAAAGAAAGGCAAAGACAAAGAGAAGGAGGATAAGAAAAGCCGAAAGAAGAAGAAGAAAGAAGAGAGAAAGAAACGCAAAAATAAAGACAAACTCGAACGAGATTTAGAAGCCTTGAAAAAATCTTCGTTACCGGATTTAGAACAATTGGAGTCGAAACTGAATGCGTATTATGCGAAAGTTGAGAAAGAAACTGCTGTTTTGAAAAGGTTGGAACCTTTATGGCCAGTTCACGATGTTTTGTTGTTGTTTTCGATTTTTTTGAAATATTTTTGTACATCTGGGTAATACGTTATGAACGGTAGAGCAGGTATTATTTTGTTGACGTTAAGTTCCGTTTTTTCTTTCGTTAGCTGATTCGTCCGCGATTCATTTAAGTTTTGAACATATATGAAAGGAAACGCGGCTTTTAACATCTCGTATTTTATTTATGTTTTTATATTTACTAGGTATGTAGCTCAGTATAATGACATAGCTTCCCCTCTTAGCAACGCGGAGAAGCTCGCTGAGAGTTCACGAAGGGAGGAGGAGCTGCGCAGAGAAAGGGAGAGGGAAAGAGATGAAGCCTCGAAGGCGTACCACGAACGGGAAGCTAGGGTACCAATGACCGCACAGCAACGTAAGGGTAAGATTTTATGTTGGTTGCTGAACAGCAACATTTCTATATGTTCCTTGCACGCGAGCTAATTACTTATCGTGACTGTATAGAAATTCAGAGGAAACCCCTAACGGACATATTTGAGCAAGAATCGCAGTTGATTCATCCGGAACCAAAATTACCACCCTTGGACACGGCTGCGCTAAACGCGAAATGGAAAGCTGCTCAGGCCGCTAGGTAAGGATAATCTCGTGAATCGATATTAAGTGGTGAAATAGTTTAATGAACGTTACTATTTGAATATTATTTTCCGTTTGCAGACAAAAGGACATTCTTCCACAAAAATGGCAAGACGTATCTCAGGAAAGCAAGAAAATGCAACCCAATGTAGATAGCGACGAAGATGATGACAATGAACTGGAAGAGAAATTACAGCGTGCAGCGTTGGAGAAGTCTATGAATATACGAAAACAGATGCAACGCGAACTAGCGGAGAAGCGGGCAGCCGCTACTCAACCGATGTTGGCTCCGACTCCACCGCCTTTGCCCAAAGAACCGCCGATGCCGAAACAAGCACCGGTGAAATATCCTACCCCACAGCCGCAGAATAAATTTCAGTCGTACAAGGATCCTTCGATATCCGCGCCACAAACGACACCGACCAAATTCAGTTCTAGTAACAATCTCGGTGGCAAGTTTCAACCGATTGGGCAGAGTAATAGCGGTGCTGGTCATCCGCCAGAACCACCGCGTCCACCTCCGCCAACGAAGAATCAGAGTCAGGCGAAAGGACCTAGAACAGACTCCGACAGCGAGACGGAGCGACAACATAGACAAACGCCTAAGAAACGCGAATCAAGCGGCAGAGGTGGAGCTGTGACGAAGAGGATGAGCAGAGACCGTCCAGCAAAACGTTCGCGTAGCAGATCGCGCAGTGCATCCAGTTCGGGTTCCTCGAGATCTCGATCGCCCAGAAGGAGTCGTTCGCGATCGTATTCGAACCGAAGATCCGGCAGTTACGAAAGGAAGTATAGTCGATCTCCTTCGGGCACTTACAGCAGATCACGTTCTAGGTCACGCTCCAGATCGTACACGAGGAGTCGTAGTCGTAGCAGGTCCGGAGATAGGAGTTACTACCGCAAGAGACAATTCCGACCATACAATAATCGCGGTACCTATTATAAACCACGTTTCCAAGGTTTCAATAACCCGAATCATCGTGGTGGCGGTAACAATTTCCAGAATCGTAATCGGTTCTACAACAATCAACACAACAATCGTTTCGGCAATAGACGCGGTGGTGGTTTCAATAATCGTGGTGGTGGACGCG